TATGTTAGCTGAAAATAATGAAACCCTAAACTATTTGGCCAGATGGCCCTTTCAACCATTTTGTCACAGAATACAAGTACATTTTTAAAAAATAAGACAAAAAATGAATGAATGGAGGGACGGACGAAATTCGAGCTTGAGCTTCAAAATAGTTGCTGTTAGGGATGAATAGATACAGTTTTATTGGTGTGTTAATTATGTTTGTCTTCAATTCAACAGCTATTATATAAAGCTGTTGTGGTTCTCCAGATTATATTGAATAAATCAAGTGTTATTAAAACCCTGCAAGGGAAAACCTCTAAACTGTCCCTTGTTCAGTGGGACGGGGAGGACATGTGACTGAATGTTTGCGTAACCGTTCAGCAGCCTACATGCAGATTCCCAGCAGGAGAGTATGGAAATATTGGGCAGGACAGGACCTCTCCCACACCAACAGCCCACTGTTCTTTGTTTTCTCTCTTTCTCATATCTACAACACTTTTTTTTTTTGTTCCTGATAGAAGAAATCCTTTCACTACTTAAAGTGGGTATTCAGTCCAGGAGCCAGAATCTTCATAAAGCATCAGGTTACGTCAGTCAGGTCCCGTGAGAAGAGTTTTTTAATCAAAGAATAACCAGCATTCACTGAGAGGCGCTCTGCCTTCATTCATAATTGTGCCAGTGGGTCAGATTATTCTGCAGAGCTGATGAAAGAACACACACTGGCAGCTTCTGCTTTCTGACAGGAGTTAGCTTGATCATTTATTGCCTACATAACTGGTAAAAAAAAAACCTGCTTTTACACCTGGGCAAAGCTTTTCTCACAAATATCTGAGTGCAGACCCTTTAATTATTGGGGTCTAAAAGCTTCCTTTTGCGATCTAGAAGCTTTTAAACATTCCTGTCTGAAACTTATTCGGTGTCCCGCCTCTTGCCACTGTTTTGAAAGACTCAGATTTCCATTCAGATGTTTTCATCAAGATCTTATTCCTGTCTTATTATTTTTTTTTTTACAGAGCTGAATGTGATTCTAGGGTCATTTTCTCTTTGAAACATGATGATAACAAGTTACGTTTAAAATATAATTAACTAGACTCAACTAAAATATTTTGGTTGCGTTTATATATAACTCAAAGATCTAAAACTTTATTCACCTACATAATATAACCATTTCCCTCACATATTGTTCACAAACCAGTTTAAATCAGTGACAGTGAGCACTTCTCCTTTGCTAAGATAATCCATCCCACCTCAAAGGTTTGCCATATCAAAATGCTGATTAGACACCATGATTAGTGCACAGGTTTGCCTTAGACTACCCACAATAAAAGGCCACTCTGAAACGCACAGCTTTATCACAAAGCACAACGCTACAGATCTCACAAGAAGAAACCTCAACAGCTAACAGATTTCTGACATTCCTTGATAGGTTTACTGTGAGTCACAAAACGCCCATAGAATGGCCAAACCTCTGCCATGGTTCAGTAAAATGTCTTTGTTTGAACTTTGTTTATCTGACAACAGTAGATGCATTTCCATTAGCATCAAATTGTACAAATTTTTACTATAAAAATAAATTAGAGAAATGGAAACACTGCAATTTAGAAAGACTTTTGATGAAATATTGATAAATGTTATTTGTTTACATCCACCCCCGAAATGTTGTTTTCGGGACTTTTCATGTGAGCAAATGTGTATAATGCATTTTTAATTGTATTTTCTATTTAATCGAAATACTGGATTTAAAAAAAAATGTCCTCTCAAAATGAGAAGAAAATCAAAATAGTGTCATGCCCATTTGTAATGGTAATGCGGCTACTGTCACCCATCAGTGGAGTCAGATGCTGGAGTTTGTCCTGCAACTGAAGGGTCATTGGTTCAAACCCCAGCTCCAGCTTTCAGTGTTGTTGTGTCCATGAGCAAGACACTTACCATGCATTGTCTACAAATGGTGGTCAGAGGGACTGGTAGCACCAATGTACGTCAGTCTCGCTTCTGCAAGTGAGCCTCAGGGCAACTTTGGCTACAGTGTAGCTTGCCACCAATCAGTGTATCCATGAATGACAGAATATAGAGTGTAGCTCTTTAGTTAAGTCTCCTCAT